GGCAACAGCTTCCACTCTTCTGGAAAATGGTTTCCACAAGATTTTTTTAGTGTCCATAGAAATTTGTACCCAATCAGCCAAAAGAGCATTTGTGAGGTCATGTGATTTTGGACCTGGATCACAATTCTCATTGCAGTTCATCCCGAAAGTTTTTAGTAAGTTGGAATTCTGAGCTCTGTGCATCCCACCCGAGTTCCTCTACTCAAAACTCATCAAACCATGTGTTCATGGACCTGACTTTTTGCACAGTCATTTTGGAACATAAAAGGTCATAAGCCAAACTCTTGCCAGAAGGTAGGAAGCTCACATTTATCTAAAATGCTTTTGTATGCTGTAGCATAAGAGTGCCCTTCTCTGAAAACATGTGAACTAAATAATTTAGTGGAGTATCTGTATAAATATTGTTAGTTGTGATGCTCAGAAGTCCATAATGTTTTGGCCATAGAGTGTATTTCTAAAACTAAAATAATGACTTTAATGATGGCTGTTTTGGCAAAAGAATGAGCTTTTACCTTCACAGTTAGTTGTGTTTCATTATGAACATGCTTTGATTATAGGGAACTTGAGGATCTAAAGGCAAAACCTGTGACAGATGTTTGTTCTGAAAAGCCAAAGCTGCCTGACAGGCTACAGAGTCAAACATCGGTGGAGAGTGATCCTTACATGGATATAAGAATGTCAGACATTGACAGCAAATGTGACAGGACTGAGGAAAGCCAAATTATGGAGCATTTAGAAACAGACTTGCAGCTGGCTGAAGATATTCCACCCATTGCTGACATGTCGGATATTACCAAAAGGGTACTTCTTTCTACCCTACCTCTTAAGGATGGCATCCAGTTTGACCAACCTAACAGGTAAGACGTGCAAAGACAATCCGTTGTTTTTTAGGCAATAGGGATATTTATCAAAACTGGAGCAGTTGCCCATAGTACCCAATCTGCTTCTATCTTCAGTTTGTCCAGTTAGGCTTTGAAAATGAAGGATAGAAGCTGATTGGTTTCCATGGGTAACTGTTTTAGATTCAGTCTGCTCCAGTTTTGATAAATTCCCCCCAATGTACTTAACTATCACTGCACTGGAAAAAAATGTGGTGTAGTTTGTCATTCTACAAATATATACATTTAATGATTACTTCTTGCAAGACTGATGCATGTTTATCTTGACAACACACTGCGGCAAAATGCTTAGTATATTTCATCTCACTTTTTTTACGCCGAGAATGTAGACTTGATGCCTGTCTTTCTAATTTTTTATACTTTTTCACAGAAAACTGTCCCCAGCTTTTCATCAAGCACTACTATCTTTTTGTCGAATGTCAGCTGACAGTCGTTTGGGTTCTGAGGTAATAAAAAGATGGTTAAATAATTGGTTAAAATGAACTGTAACTTTTTATCTGGTTATCTTCCACAATGGCTCCACATTGATAATTCAACCCCTTTTACCAAGAGGGAAGTAGACTTTAAAAGGTCCCACCTTACCACATCTTAGTGTTTTAACCATTCCAAGGGATAGATACAGATTACAAGATATTCTAATGGCCTAGAGGGAACTGACCCAGAACTTGATGTTAAACTTTGATCCAGCTAGATCCAAAAGAGGTGCAGTTCTATAGCCCTGGAAGGCGTATTGGCCTAGAAACCTGTAAAACATATTGGTATTGTTGCCTAATCACCCCACACATGTTTGGGTTCTTTAAGGCCCCATATTATGATCTCATCATCCTTAGTATGGTATGGGCTCTGTAAGACTCCTTATTATGGTTTCTTCACCCCACTAGTCCATGGGCTGTTTAAGCTGCTATTTGGAAATCTTGAACAAAGATTGATGCACAAACTACATGTTTTAAGACCGGTTTGGAGAGCTCTAAAGAGTTGGCTATGGCCATGCAGTTAAGGCTTTTGGTTAGGTTACCTAAAGACGTCTGAAGCAATATGTTTGTTCACGTAAAAGTGAATATGAATTTGTCCAGAAGCTATTTTAGATTTTTTGCTTATGCCATGATTCAGTTCAGGGTTTGATTGTACCTCGCCCTAAATAGGGAGTGGCTTACACTGCTGTGCCATGCTGAAGGCACGGTATCTGTGTGTTTAGTGCACACTGCCGCACATCACAATGCACCGCACACTAGGCGCACTGGTGTATTGTGTTGCCATCAATTCTGGATGCCAATGCACCTCCCTGTGGGTGTGTGCTGCAGCTTATGGCACAGCAATAGCATGCATGACTCATTTTTTCTTTCACTGCACGGCACTGTAGCGCAAACTAATGCAGTGCCGTGCATCAGCGCAGCTAGTGTGTGGTGCATTGAAATGTGCCGTAGTGTGCGCTAAATGCATGGATACCATGCCTTTAGTGCAACCCAGCAGTGTGAACCGGCCCCAAGTGCTGTAACCAATATCCGCAACTAGGAAAAACGGTATATACCCAGCCAGGTTTCTATCTGTTTATATATGACGGGGTGTTACTTTTATGGAAAGTGAACAGAAAATTCTAGAATTACACTTCTAATTCATTTCTGGGAAATCTGCTACAACAGGACCTATGTAATGTGATTACATTTTCTGACTTCATGATTTTTATACTTTTTTTAATTTGGAAAAACTTCACAGTTGTGGCTAACTGGGCCTTTGAAACCTTCTACTTCTTCTCCTATTTGGTCTTTTTATGGGGGGGGGGGTGCTATCATGGAAGATTCCTAGAACAAAATGAACAGTGAGTGAACTTGTAGTTATTGACAACAATATTCACAATTCTATTCTAGATGAACTCCAGGCAAATAGCTAAAATACATATAAGGGAGTTGTTTTACCTGCCAACGAATTTGTATTTCTCTCAATTGGGTCCTGAGATTGAGCCCTGCTGCACAGTTAGGTGGATGACTTTGTACAGTTTGACTATTGAAGGGATACAGTGGAGTCCTCACTGCTCGCCCAGCCTGCTGACTGGACAGTGAAAGATAAACAGCCGACTGATGATGTTATCCCTCTGCTCATGCTGCTTTTTCTATCAGCATGTTGCTTGTCAGGGCATTTGCATGCGGCACATTATATTAGTTCCTATTACTGTCCCTCCCTCTCTCAATCTGAGTAGTGTTGTATAGGGGATTGCAAGAGGCTGATTTCAAGTCAAATTCAGGTATTTACACCGTTGGATACATGGATCTTGTGACTCTAATTGTCCTGCAATGTCTGCAGTTATATAGAAGTCATTCACAAACTGTCGACAGAAGACTGTTTTCCTGTGACTGTTCTCTGTGTTGTGCAGTAAAGTGCCACGTACTATGTAGTTACAACGGCTTGTGTGTGAATGCAGGTCTCATTTAATACCTGATCACTGTAAGAATGCTTTTATATTACAGGTGTCCCGCATTGCTGACAGCGACAATGGAGTCATGCTGATGCTGGGTCGCTGTCTGCCTCATATTGTCCCAAATGTGCTTCTAGCAAAACGAGAGGTATGGGCCATCTATATTAACAGTCTATGCTTAGATTACCCAGATTAAGCAAACCTAAAATGGTAAAATAATTCAGTTGACAGTTCTATTTTCATGCATGCCTCATCTTCTAGAAAATGGTTGTACACCTGTGCCAGGTGAGTTTGGTAGTTTGTCCCTTATCCTTGACAGAATAACGTCAGTTGTGTCTGTACCCCTGTTCTTTCCATCCATGCATATAACATCATAGTAATTGTGTGTTAGTTATTGCCTTTTATATATGTTTTAAACATATATGATAACATGCCTGTTATGGAGTTTTTCGTTCACTATTAGGCCCCATTCACACACGAATCGGCCTACACGTACAGCTCCGTGCGGGGCCGTACCAAGCAGCTGCCGGGAAGGACCGGTGCTGCGTCCTTCTCTATGGGGCTACGCGGCTGTACGCCCCCCTATGCTCACCTCAATTGCAGGCCCGTAGGGGTGAGTGTATTCATACGCCGCCGGAATGGATCCTGTATGCGTCCCGGCCAGAAAACCCGCACCCCTACGGACCTGCAATTGAGGTGAGCATAGGGGGGCGTACGGCCGCGTAGCTCCATAGAGAAAGACGGGGTCTGCGTACTAATCACACGCAGCACCTGTCCTTCCCAGCAGCTGCTTGGTACGGTAATGGTGTGTACACAGTCCAAGATCCTTGGCAACAAGTTATTTGTTGGATCAAGACATAAAATCAGTCATAACAAACATGCTAACGCATTTCAACCTATATAGCTTTAAAAGATAACTAAGGGGTAAGTGTTTTTCCCCATAGTTCTCTTAAGGGACATAAACTCGTGTCCTCCTGTGACCCAAAGCTCAGTATATTGTGAGCTACAGCTTGCAGTATATTAAGACCGCTGCAGCCGGGACAGATCCCTACATTACTGTCGAGATCCACCCAGCTGCCTGAGTGACAGCTGGCTCTGCCTATCTAGAGGCAGCTGTGCCCGCCCCCTTCCCTGTTCGTTCCACCAGTCAGCGCTGGAGGATCGAAGCGGGTAGGAAGGAGATTGATGCAGGCAACCATGAGTGACAGTCACGGCTCTCTGCAGGGAGATGATCGAGAAGTGAGCGAGTGACGGTATGTGTTCGCTCACTTCCCGATCTATTGAGCCGACGTGTGACAGTTTCATTGTCACACTTCGGCTCGAACTATGAGGATGAGGGATTTTCAATCACCTGATAGTTCTCCTTTTAAGCATAGCTATTTGTTACACACCACATATCCCTATTAAATAATTAATTCCCACTTCAATCCATCTACGGATTTTTTAATAGGGTTATGTGGAGTGTAACAAATCATTATGATTTAAGATCATATAGGCTGAAATGCGCTAGCACGTTTGTTATGACAGCATCTTGAACTGTGTGCCAGCCATCTTTTACCTGGGTTCTTCAGTTTTTAGTCAATCTTTCTTTTTTAGCAGACAATTGTTATAGTATATAGATTTTCTTCCCTGGAAACTGATGTTGATGCATACTAATTCAATAAGTCAATGCAAAGAGCAAATTGGAAGTGCAGTAGCTTATAACAACCAATCAAATTTCAATTTGAAAGTTAGAATATGAAGTTAGATCATTCTGAGATTCTGATTGGTTTACGTACTTTGCAATTACATTGTCCATAATTCTAAAAGGGGAACTTGTGAAATTGTGCTAATGCAAGCACCAACTTTTGGTAAAGAAAGATCTTTATTTGTACAATATAGACATTACTAAACTCCTCTTCCTTCTATGATCTGCCTAGATATCGTCTGGGTGGGATGAAAGGCCCAGTCATTAAAGAAACCACATTAGTTCATGTATGTGGCTAACTTTGGTTCCACAAATAGTCTGGAACTTTATCGAGTGTGCCAAACAACTGAGTTGGACAGACTTTAGAACTGGAATACTTGACTTAAGTTTGGTAGACTCAGACTTTTCAAGCAAGTAAAAAAAGTGATTTCTTCTGTGCCAATTTGGCCTAATGGTTGGTTGGCATGGACAACACATACTTTTCTCCAGGTTTTTGATTGAGTTTGATTCGGTAGTTGCATAGTATGGCCACTTGAGGGCAATGTAAACGAGTACAGCAACTCAGATCAAGCAATTGCAAACAGAACTCTATAAATTTAAACTGGATCTTGTTTCAATAATTATTTCTGGAGAAAGAACACAGAAGTGTTTCCGTTTTACTGAGTAATACCAACATGAATTAACAGACGAGTACCTTAATAAATCTAGTACTGAAATCTAAATATATCTGTAAAAAATAAGTCAAGGCAACTGGACTTGCTGTATTTTTTCTTGAAGACGTTTCACTGGTCATCCAACCAGCTTTCTCAATTCCGAATGACTTGTACGGAAATTCTCTTGGAATAAATGTGGTGAATTTTGCTCCAATCCACATAATCTGTTGATAGCATTTGCATAATTGGAGCTAGGAGGTGTTATTAACCTGCCCAGAGAGAGAGGTGTTAAAACCAGCATTGTATATGGCCGACATTGTATATGCCCCCCCCCCACCTCCTATTCAAGCTTGACTTCTTAATTTTTGCATAAATGGCTTCTTTCACACCTCTTTTAAACCAGTCCTCCTTCCTGTCAAGGATGCGTAGTTGACTGTCTTCAAAGGAGTGACCTTTTTCCTTTTTAGATGTAGGTGCACTGCTGAATCCTGACCAGCAGAGGGTTTTGCTCTTCTATGCTGTGCCATATGCTGGTGTAGCTGCTGTTTTGATTCACCGACATACAATTCTGAGCACTCCTCACTGCACTGGACTGCATGCACAATTGTGTTTTGGCGTTGAGTGTTTTGGGTGAACCAGTTGTTGCCTCAGTGTATTGCTGGGTTTAAAGCAGACAGGGATGTGATGTTTTTTAAAAACCCTTCTGAGTTTCTCAGGCACCCCAGCTACATATGGGATTTCCAAATTGTTCCGTTTGTCATGTTTTTCACCCGTCGCCTTGACTTATTTTTTTTACAGATTTACCATGACCTGGTTAAATGAGAACCTTCACAGACTGAAATCTAAATAGAATATTAAAATAGTTTAAATGCCCCTCCGAATTGTGGAACGTTATTGTAGTAATTCATGTAGGTGCGTAGCTGGCAGGTAAGTGACGATATGGGGCTTGGTGAACCCAGTTTGCCTAAGCTCATTTAAAACTATGACCAATGTCCACCACCCCCACGGCACAGTTACAGGAGGCGCATTCCCTGGCCAACAGCTACCCATTACAAGGGGAATGCCACTGCCGAATCTGTTTGGATTGGGAGGGTTTGCACCAAGCCCCAGCTCATCACTATTGTTCATTCTCAATACAGTTGTTGTAAAGTCCCTTGGAAATGTCTTTATATTGTCTGGGCATTTAAAGGATAATGTGAATTGTAAGGGTAGAAAATCTAACCTGCCATGCTGACTTTTGTTAAAGGCACAGTTTCAATCTCAGATCCTTCTAATTTTAAAGTATATTTTAGCTTATCTGTCCTTGGATATAGTGGCTGCATTTGTTTCCTGTTTTCAGCCTTTTTTCCCCCTTTCTTATTTTCGCCTGGTGATTCAGCCAGTAACACACGCTCACTCTTGCAGTGTAGCAACCCTTGGACTGCAACGTTGCCCACCTGTGGAGAGGGTAGTCATTTACAGACTACTAGGTTAGGTGAACCTTACATAAGTGACTAACAAATAAAAGCTGAACTCCAGCTAACACTTTTCAACAATTAAAGCAACAGTTTAGTTTTTTTCCTTTTGGGATAAAGGTTTTAATTCTAGGAGTAAATACTGATCAGTGTAAGCAAGATCAATCGGCAATACTACAATGTAACAGAGGGCCTCTAAGGAAAACAAAAGTCTGCTGTGTTAATGATAGTGACAGATTGCAGCATGTATGTCATTTCTTTTATATGTTGCCCTGAGTTCCACTTTAAAGCCCAATTGAAATTTCAGTTTTTAAATCGGGTAAATATATTTCAGATGCATCAAAACAAAAGTTATGCAAAGTCTTAGGCCTCATTCAGACTAGCAATGTCAAACTTCTGTTTATATGTGTTTAGGGTACCCTTCTAAATGCATAAAACGTTAGGACTTGATTTTCACTGGTATCATCCAGACTTTGCTTTACCTGCATCCAGTTTTGCTGTCTTTAGAGTAAATAGAATTCCAATATTCTAAAAGAAACTTTAAATGCATGCAAGCGCAGTTAGATACAGCTTTAAAGAAGAAGTCTGACCTTTGTATTTTTTTCACAGCTCAGTCATCTAACTCCCGCAATATATGTTTCTTTTTATCCCATCTAGAAACGGAGAAACAGACTTTAATAGCTCACTTCTCTTCAGTCCCGATCACATTCTTCAAAGAAGATGGACTTCTGTTTGACAGCTTTTATCTCATTGTCCCTGCACTTTTCAGACACAAGCTAGGTCACAGGAATGCAGAGAGAGGGGGCACACTCTGATAGGAATTAGCACTGGCACTAGAACTGGAAGGGGTGCCTTGTTTTGTGTCTGGAAAGTGCACGGACAGGGAGATAAGAGCTCTCAATCAAGAGGTTCCCCCTCCTTTGCAGAGGAGGAGTGAATTCTCAAAGTCTGTATCTTCGTTTCTACTACACACAGATGCATGGTATAAAAATCAACATACACTGTGGGAGTTAGATGACTGAGTTGTGAAAAATAATACAAGGTGAGGCGGCTTCTTTAAACAGGAACATCTAAACATAGGAAAAAGTGATCTGGGAAGTATAAAGGTTGTTTGTACTTCTCAGATAACGTTTCCTGCATTTTTGAAAGGCTAAATACAGATGGGTCAGTGTGAATAAGGCCTTACAGTTTGTTTCCTTTAGAAAACAACCTTTAGTGTCTTGGCAGGGGGTGTTTTGGACCTCTGCAGATACCTCACTCTGCTTCCACACAGAGGCCAATGGTCCTTCGTTGAAGCATGCTAGCAGGGGACAAGCTTTTCTACTCAGGATGCAGCTGGTTTCCTTAAAGAGGA